TGACTATACTTTCTGCCAGATCACTCACTACTGGGTCAAGGGAGGAGCCAGAGATGTGAGTAGGGAAATCCACAAAGTTTCTCATGTCAAATACTGCAGGAAGGTCATCAAAGTCCCTCTGTATAAGGTGTTGGTTGAGGTCACCAACAATTATGATATATTGACAGTTGTGTTGTAGCAGGAGTCCATATTTTCCATTAGGAAGTTGATGGGGTCTGCATGTTGCCACATAGGTCTGTACATTGCAAATGCTAGTACAGAGGTACTAGTGTTTATGCAGAGCTTGAAGAACATCATTTCAAGATGAGTAGGGGTGGCAACTTCAATGTGCTGGGCATGTACACTTTTAGAGAAGCACACAGCAACACCTCCTCCTTGCCTTTGCCTGTCTCTTCTCATCCATGAGGTGTAGCCAGCAATTCTTGCAAAATTTTCTGGAGTCCTGTCGTCCAAAAATGTTTCAACAACAGCTATCATGTCGGGACGTCGAGTGTTCACAAAACTATGTGTGAGCTCTCCAGCATGAGTAATGAAACCTCTAATGTTGGCCGACAGAATGCTGATAGACTGGCTCCTCATGATGTGGTCAGCTTGAGGTGGTGGGTGTGTAAGGCATGTAAGGTGCCTGCCCTTGAGAGAGGTAGGGTACTGGGGCAACTGCAGGGATGTAGGTCTGTGGTCTTGTATAAGGAACAGTACCTCCTGCTGGGCTACTCTCTCTCTCTCTCTCTCTCTCTCTCTCTCTCTCTCTCTCTCTCTCTCTCTCTCTCTCTCTCTCTCTCTCTCTCTCTCTCTCTCTCTCTCTCTCTCTCTCTCTCTCTCTCTCCCATGTACTATACAGGGTATGTATACTCGTGCACTATTGGTCGTTGTTCTTGTGGTTTCGCAGAAAGTTCTTTGTTGATAGTGAGGAGTTAGCCACTATTTTAATAATTTTATTGTCAACATGACTCACGAAATCGCAATAACGCGATTGCAAACTGGCCTGGAGTTTTACGACTCACTTTCCATGGGTTCTAACCCTACCCGTACCGTGGTTGGTTTATTGTAAAGCTTGTTATTATATTAGCTGCTACTCTGTGACTAGCAACATTGTGTATCCGGAAAGTCCCCCTCCAAGCAGACTCATGTTTGTCCTGTTGAGTATGCATAAAGCATGTTTCCTGCACTCATGCAAGACGTGTAGTGACATGAGTAGTGAGCTAAACGCATGTGTGAGGTGTGCACATTCTTACTTCAGAGAATATCGGACTGGAAACTCCGAAAGCCCTGAAGAAGAAGAAGAAGAAGAAGAAGAAGAAGAAGAAGAAGAAGAAGAAGAAGAAGAAGAAGAAGAAGAAGTCTATCCTCTTGTAAGGGTGAGAGAAGAAATCTTATTAAATCATTCTTGAAAGTTTGTTTTAAGAAAACTTTAATAAAGTTGATTTTCATTCTTTTCTGCTTAATAAAAGATTTTTGAGTGTTGATTTTGTTGAGTACATCATGCACTCTAAAACATCATCCAAGTGAGTGAACTGGAGATAGTAGTTAGGATGTGGTTGAGCTCTCGGCCCCTTACATAAATTGGCTAGAGCAGCTCTAGTGGATGAGCCTCATATCTAGCCCTAGGAACAGGCTTTTGTATTCGTCTGGAAGCCAGAGCGGTTATACCGAATACAGTTCAGGGAAATCTATAAAATCCTGGCAAGGGAAGAGACAACTCTGTGTCGTCAGTGATCGTTCTACGTGAAAGGTTAATGGTGCCCTGGAACACTAGTGTATAAAGCAGTGACGTCAAGGCTCGCCAACTTCTTAACTTTTATGGGTGGTTTCCTTGTGTTGCTTAGGTCACACACACACACACACACACACACACACACACACACACACACACACACACACACACACACACACACACACACACGCGCGCGCGCGCGCGCACACACACACACACACACACACGATAAAGCTCATGGTTCAGGGAGAGTGACCTAGTAGCGACCAGTGAAGAGGCGGGGCCAGGAGCTTGGACTCGACCCCTGCAACCTCAACTAGGTGAGTACAACTAGGTGAGTACACACACACACACACACACACGCACACACACACACGCACACACACACACACACACACACACACACACACACACACACACAAATAGACACTGCTGGCATTGTGGGTAGGCGCGGGGTGCGAGTATGGGCAGGAGAGGGTGGACATGTGAGTGTGGGTAGGTGCGGGATGTTGGTATGGGCAAGCGCATGATGTGGGTGTGGGCAGGCGCGGGGTGTGGGTGTGGGCAGGCGCGGGGTGTGGGTAGGCACGGGGTGTGGGTGGCAGTGTCAGAGACAACACAGCGCCGGGCGGAGGTACAGCACCAGTGCTCCGCCACCCCGTGCACCCACCTGGTTCTTGCTGCTCCTGTCAACCCACCCGTACCCGAACGCCCCTACCCGCCCGCCCAAACACCTCAACCCCCTACCCGCCTGTCCCTGTAGCCAGCTTCAAAATGTCCGCTCCC